TCTTGTTTATTTATAAAAGTCTTCTAAAATAATTACTATTTCATTTATCCTCAGTTCTCAGATCTTATGAGTCTGCAGACGGACTTCAGCTACAGGTTCCAACAGGAAATGTATTTATCTTTTATGACTATTTTCATGCATCACTACTGAATATTTCTGTTTATTGTGGCTTGTTTTGATTGGTGCACTTGTAAATGAGGGATACTGTTACTCAGTGTCTTCTTTCAGAGTGTAAAACATCTTGAATTAATTAATGAATGGCTGTGGTTAAAGTGCTGACTTTAGTTCAGTGTTTGAAGGTTTTCTCATTTACATTTGGTTGACTAAGAGTGGTGTACCTTTTAAATGTCCTTACAAAAACACAGAGACAAAACAACCAATGGCCCAAAAGTGCATGGCTGGCCAAGTCAGTCACTTGACCTCAATACTACACTGCAGCAAAGATGGATGCAGAATACAGATCAAAACCCATTTGCTGATATCTAGTGATGTCAAATGTTAAGCCCAGAGTTTCCCAAACTTGTGCATGTTAAGGACCTCCACAATAAGAGCACATTAGACCACAGACCCCCAATTTGAGAGCATTTTGTCTTAAGAAAATTTTTTTCTATTTTTGAAAATAAGATAGGTCTTCAATCAACAATCAAACTGGGATTACAATAAATTACAGGCAATGAAAACAACCATGTTTCTTCCCTTGTTGTGGCAAATTCCCCAAAAATGTGATAAAATAAAAAATATTTGATTCCTCCTGCGGCTGAACCCCAGTTTGAAACCACTGGTGTAGACTACATTATCAATTATAAGTTGTTGGGCCAACTAGACCTACAGACAGCCCATGTGTTGCATTGATTCAATTATTAACAATAATCAGGAAACACCACACCAAACATTACTTAGTTTATAGGCCTACAATAGCAAAACTTTTATTTTTGATTCCAGTTGTCACTTCCTTTCCGTCCACCATCTTTGTTTGGCTGAAAGAATCCCAACTGGGGAAACAGGTAAACAAAAAACAATAACAAGTCTTAATTGTGCAGTGTGATTATATTTGTTCCAGATGAAGATAAACTGTATTTGAATCACCTTGAAATGTCTTTAAAACATCGATAGGTTAACTAATGTTAAACCAGCGTTAGCAGTTCAGTTGGGGCCATTATGCTACTGTAAGCTTAATTGTTGGAGAGGAATAAACAGGGGCTGGTCTTTAAACACAACATAACTTTTAGTTTCAGTCTTGTGTCAAACTAGCTAGCATGTTAAGATATAGTTGGTAATTAACCATGAATGTTACCTCACATTTAGTCATTAAGCTAAGCTATTTTAGTCTTAGTCTGCGCATTAAAATGCATATTGAAACTACATTACCTCCAGAAAGCAGCTTCATTCATGAAACAACGTTAGCTCTGACTAATGCCATCTTTAGCTGTCTGGAGGCTTTGTAGGCTATAACATTGTGTCTGTCGCCTGTAACAGTTTTCACTTTTTGCAGAGTAAACTGTAACCCAACATTGTTTTTGTTAAGTACAGTGCCATATCACTTATGTTGGCTGGACAATTAGACTTAATACAGATAAACAGCAATTGTGTAGCTGATTAGAAAACTAAACATATTCTTGAGTCCTCTGGTGAGTGATAATTTGGCCGGTAGTTTTTCAAAAATCAAAGTATGCATTAAACTGTATACAAATATAAATCTATGTATAGAGTTTATGTGCATATTTAGATTTACAGTGTAATGGAATACATTTTAATTCAGGAATAAATTCTCAGTTTCCCAGTCCGGTCCAGCACTCTGGACCAATAAAAGATTCAGTGCCGCTGAGTTGCTCTGATTGGTTAGGTATAGTATTGTCTGTAACATTGTGCCTGGTTGTATAATTGACTATATTTGGTGATAATAAAACTTGTTTATCCACCTGGTCTAAATTACATAATGAAGCATAGTATTATCCCCTGAAACTTTGAAAACACTCAGTATGCAACAGTATTAAATATTCAATCATTAAATCAGTCATTTAAAAATAAATGGACAGACACAAGAAAGATGCAACAAACTATCTACCTTTTATTGACTATTGGTAATCACAGCATGTTTAACATATTGGAGTGAACCAGTGACAAGATACTCATATTGTATGCTTCTTGTTACTGTATAGCCTTAATTTCTTCCTCACTCCTCTGCTTCCTTGGTCTGAAATGAAAGAACAATGGCAAGTAAAACATGTGACCAGTTAATCTAAATTTAAAACAAATGGCTGTTTGTTGGATCCTGATATAAAACAAACATTTCCACAAACTTGATTCATCTCAGATTGTTTTTACCTTCACAATTTCACGACTCTTTGCCCTCAGTTTGTTGACCTGGGACTCGGCGATGTCAGCACGCTCCTGAGCTTCTTCCATCTCATGCTGCACCTTCCTGTACCTGGACAGGTGAGTGTTGGCCTGCTCCTCCTGTATGATAAGCCACAGTGAAGTCAAAACCTGTGGACCTATTTTCAGAATTGTTATTTTCAGTGTTATTATGAGAATTAAGTGTACTCACAGCCTCCTCAGCCTGTCGCTTGTAGGATTTCACTTTCAGCTGCAGCTTGTCCACCAGATCCTGAAGTCTGGCAATATTCTTCTTGTCCTCCTCAGTCTGATGTACATTTGGAATGATAGAACATTTTCAAAACAAAGTTAATGTTTTAATTACCGTATATTATTTAGTTGTAGTAGTGGTTTAAGTATTAGAGTTGTAAATAGGATTTTACCTGATAGGTGAGCTCCTTTACTCTTCTCTCATATTTTCGCACTCCCTTGATAGCGTCAGCACCACGCTTCTGTTCAGCATCAAATTCAGCCTCCAATTCTCGAACCTTGAGTGAAGAAGAATGCAGTGATTTATAAAATGCAGAATGTTGTCCTGGCTTACAGTAAATAAATAAATAGGTTGGTCCTCATGACACTTACTCTAGACTCCAGTTTCTGGAGCTGCTTCTTGCCGCCCTTCATGGCCAGACTCTCAGCCTCATCCAGACGGTGCTGCAGGTCCTTCACTGTCACCTCCAGGTTCTTCTTCATCCTCTCCAAATGAGCACTGGTGTCCTGCTCCTTCTTCAGCTCTTCTGCCATCATGGCAGCCTAAACATGGAAAAGAGTAGGTTACAACAGAATAGTATTTAGTTGGATATATAAACAAATACAAATGTATAAGTTATAATGGTTTTATTGTCTATCATGTTTTGTTTGTTTTTTGTGTCAATCATTCCCTGAGATCCCTTTTTGAGTGAACTGATTGTTAACGTTTAAGGTATTTTTTATCTGCCTGTGATTGTCATCTCTAAGATTGTAAACATCTCAGCTTCAGTTTGAATGAAAACAATTTATTTATTCATCACAGAATATCTTCCACTACAAAAGACATCCCAATAGGGCTGTTTATACCATCTTCATGAGAAAGCTGTAATTGCTCTGCTGACAGACTACAACAGCCTGTTAACTTGGAGCTAGAACTCCTCCAGAGCTGCTACTATTGTTATAAAACCAAGCTCCATTGCTAGAATATACATATAGCAGTAGTTTCCAACATTGTTTAAATATCTCCTAAATCATATTGTTCATGACTGTCTGAGATTGTTATTCCATTATAAAAGTTTCCATTATGTATAATTAGTTTTTCATTAATTACCTATTAAAATCAGCAAAACAGCAGGATACTACAAAGTTACCACTGGAATGTCTCAAGCAGATAACTTTGAGCTCCAATGTTGGACCTGCTGCTGTTGGTTTTTCAATGAAGCGGTATAGATAGATGGATAGATAGATGGATAGAT